TACATTGTTCATTTTTAATGGGTATATTTGCAAACGTTTCTTGTTCTACATTGTTCATTTTTAATGGGTATATTTGCAGACGTTTCTTCATTGTTCATTTTTAATGGATATATTTGCAGACATTTCTTGTTCTACATTGTTCACTTTTAATGGGTATATTTGCAGACGTTTCTTGTTCTACATTGTTCATTTTTAATGGGTATATTTGCAGACGTTTCTTGTTCTACATTGTTCATTTTTAATGGATATATTTGCAGACGTTTCTTGTTCTACGTTGTTCACTTTTAATGGGTATATTTGCAGACGTTTCTTGTTCTACATTGTTCCTTTTAATGGATATATTTGCAGACGTTTCTTGTTCTTCATTGTTCATTTTTATTGGGTATATTTGCAGACGTTTCTTCATTGTTCATTTTTAATGGATATATTTGCAGACATTTCTTGTTCTACATTGTTCATTTTTTATGGGTATATTTGCAGACGTTCCTCATTCTACATTGTTCATTTTTTTATCAGAAAAATGTGTTCAGGAGTCTGAAAATTTACTATTTTACTCATTTCATGCACTCACAATTAAACGTAAAAATTACATAAAAAATGGATTTTTATCTTTTTATTATTGTTGCTGTTGTAGTGCTGATTTCCTAATAATATGTCAGAATTATTCCAACTCAGTTTCCTCTCTATAATTCATAAGTAGCTCCCTCTACCGACGTTTAAATCATCTGACCCAATCCTTAATAATAGTTCTTAGTAAGAGTTATTTTGAATGGATCATTTCAGAGAGATTCTTTTTGCTATAATCCATGCCTGTTGACTCTAGAAAGACGTTTTGTTTTGTTTTTACTTTGTTTATATTGTCTTCTGTTGAATATCTCATATTTTATTTCTGAGTATAATGTTTGTACGTAAGAAAATTAAGTTTCTTGTAAGTAATACCATACATAAAAGACTTAAAATAGGGCACTCCTAGTGCAGCAGTATTCTTCCTTCTAAAATAAAACTTCAATTAATAATGTAAGAATTAAATCATGTATTTATATCTACGGTGTTTAATACATGATTGATTACGTACTAGCGTAGCTCGTTGGTATAAAAGATGCAATGAAATACGAAAACATATAACATCAAATTATTGTATACTTTCAAGCGATAAATTGTGTACAACTACACAATTAACATTATGCCAATTAAATAAAGTTCGAGTGGTTTTGAATCACTATATTTATCTATAATTAAAGTGGAGAAAGTAACAGGAATGTGTAATGAAAAATCCATTACAGATTTATCTACATTTTCTTTTCTGAATGTTAATAAAAAAAATCCGAATACTCTTTTTTTGTATTGTTATCCGACTTTTAAATCAACGTCTTGCTATTTAAACGTGAATATTCTAACCCTTAATGATTGTAAAATATTATGTACTAACACTTAATGATTGTAAAGTATTATATAAGCTGAACGACAGGAACTAAAGCTAACAGTGGAGAATAATTTAAATCTCACCTAATCTCGGGAATAAATATTTTCGTTAGCTTTCGTATCTTAGGGAGAACCGCGACACCATACAGCAAACACGTACTTTCAAAATGAACTGGAAAATCTATTGTTGGCTTTCAGTTTCAAGTATAGTACTATCGAATAATGTCATGCGCAGTTGTACCTAACTCAGCAGACTGCGTAAATTGTATAGAGGTGCATTGCAGGAACAGCTTTATATATTTTGTACGTTACCCAAAGAGTGCGTTAGGGAAACTTTCTAAATTTTCAAGTTTTTGTTTATTTTATTCAGTCATCCTTAGCGTCTGTCTCTAGTTGTAATTGTATTGACAATATATATATTTATCAGTTAGAAACATTTTTCTGTTTACTTTATATATGTATATGTATCTCGCTGTACTTTGAGTATATGTATATATTAAAATATTTCTAGTATAGCAGATAGTTGCTAAATCAACTGAAATAACAAATAACAAATCAGAGAAGATCTGTAACATATAAAGAAATCAAATCAACCTATCACTTCTAAAACAAATCA